GACTTGTTATGAAGAGGAAATGAGAAAAATGGTTCTATTTAGACAGGTGATGAATAGGTGGGGGTGTATTGGGAAGGTACAAAGGTACAATGGGATAGCAAGTGTAGCTAATCTAAATACAAGTATGGTGATAATCAAACCAAAAATCCACCAAGTCCAGGGGTGCACTGCTGATCGTGGGCAGCCTCAGATGCTTCAGAGGAAGGGGAGAAACATGACAGAACATGACAGCAGTGCCATATGTTAGATGAAAGGTCCATCTACCTGTCTCCTGTCTCTGACAGAGATAGTAAGTGATTTAGAGGAAGAGCATATGAACAGGACATGTCTGCAGTGACAACATTTTTGTCAACATTTATAATGAGAAGTAGGATCTTCTTGATGTAGCATGCCATCAAGTAGGGTTGAAGTGTTGTTGTATCTGTCATAGTCAAGAAAATGTCTGAAGGGCAAGGATTTTTTGTGATAGCTTTTATTGGACCAACTGTGTAGTTGGGAGTGCTGTTGGACAAGCTTTCAAGCCTGAAATGCCCTTTTTTAGGTCTGAGAAAGAGGCAGATACTGGCTGAGCTAATATCAGAAAAAAAGACTCCATGCAAATTCAAAAAGTCTGCTTGAAGGGATGAAGGAAGACTGTGAACTAGGACTGAAAAGGGATTAACAGGAGCCTTTATGAGATAAAAGAAGAGCAGAAGAATATGCAATCTAGTGTTAGTGGTAGCTATTACCTGTGAAGTGCAGGGGGATTCTTGGCCATATTTATAGGTTGTAATAAGCCATTAAACCACTGTTTATATAAAGTCCAGATTTTTTAATTGTTTAGTAGAGTTATGAATTTCTGTTCCCAAACCCATTTTCTGGAGATTTTTGGTAATTTCCCTTTGAACATGAAGATTGTGAGGTTGGAGAAGGACTGATTGTTCTGTGCAGAATATGCTGCTGTTGGTGTGTCTCTGTCTGTCTTTTCAAGTCTCTGTAAATGCATCATCTTGCTATGTTCTCAGTCTCAGTGAGTCCAGTGTCTGCCCAAACCTAGCAGGCCACCGGGCTAACACACCAGGTTCTATAGGTAATGAGCACAAGGGACTGAAGTGTTTAGCATCACATCTGCCCACCTTTTATTCTCTAGATTGAACATACTCATGTACTAATGTGATTCTAATCACATTAGGGTTGATTCTAATGTGGGACTCAGACTCACTCAAACTCACAAGGTGGTCAGTAACAGCCAGCGTAGCTTCACCAAGAGCAAGTCATGCCTGACGAACCTGACTTCCTTCTATGATAAGGTGACAGGCTCTATGGATGCAGGGAGAGTAGCGGCTGTGATACATACCTTGACTTCAGCAAAGCTTTTGACACTTTCTCCCATGACATTTTCATTAAAAACTACAAGCTAAGAAAATACAGACCAGATGGAAATACTGTAAGGTGGACACGTAACTGGTTGGATCATCGTACTCAGTGAGTAGTCACGAATGGCTCACAGTATATTTGGAGGGAGGTTTCAAGTGGGGTTTCCCAGGGGTGTGTGTGGGGTCCAGTATTGTTTAATATTTTCATTACTAATTTGGACTATGTGATTGAGTTCATGCTTAGCAAATTTGCATACAACACCAAGTTGGGTGGAGTTGTGGACTCTCTGGAAAGTAGGGCTTGGATCCAGAATGACCTGTATAAACTGGAGAAATGGTCCACAATCAAGCAAATGAGATTTAGCAAGGGCAAATGAAAACTCCTGCACTTGGGACAGAATAATGGCATGCACAAATATAGATTAGGGAATGACTGCATAGGGTGCAGTACTGCAGAGAAGGACCAGCTGGTTACTGTAGATCATAAACTGAATATGAGCAAACAGGGTGCTCTGGTTGCAAAAGAAACCAAGAGCATCCTGGATTGCTTTAATAGCAGTGTCACTTGCAATTCAAGGGCAGTGATTCTTCTACTCTATTCAGCACTAGGGAGGTCTCACCTGGAGTAGCGTGTCCAGTTTTTGGCCTGCACATCAAGAAGGATGTGGATAGTTTAGAAAGAGACCAGCACACAGCAACAAAAATGATGAGGGCCCTGGGAGGAAAGACTTATAAGGAAAGGCTGAAAGAGTTAGGGTTATTTAGTTTGGAAAAGAGAAAACTGAAGGGGGATTTGATAACACTCCTCAAATACCTAAAAGGTGATTATAGAAAGGATGGAGATGGGCTTCTCTCTGTGGCGGTAGGGGACAGAACTAGGAGCGATGACCTCAACTTTCAGCAGGGGAAATTTAGACAGGAGATTAAAAGAAACTTTCTGACTGGGTTGGTCAAGCAGTGGAACAGTCTATCTAGGGAAACTGTGAAGTCTCCATCTTTGGAAGTATTCATAAGCAGGTTAGGCAGATGTTTGACTGATATGGTTTAATCATGGCTGATCCTTCCCTGAGCAGGGTGCTGGACTAGATGACTTTGTGAGGTCCCCTCCAGCCCTACTTGTCTATCATCTCTGAAGCTGAAACAAAGCACTTTAACTGCTTTGCCCCCAAAATCCGGCATTTGAATGAGTTCCCCAGGTCTAATTCAGTGAAAAAGTATTCTCATTTTAGCAGGCTGGAATTTGCTGCCTTTTAGATTACGCATACAGATATTTTAGGCTTGTCTATTTGTAGCTCCAAGTCAAGAGAACTTTGGACAGAAGGCAGAATATTTGAAGTTGAGCCAAGAAAACATTTTATAACACAAGGAAAAGGTACTATGGACCATTCAAGAATAAGAGATCACTTTGAGACTTAGACATGTTCAAAAAGGTGTTAGAAGAGGTTAGAACAGGAGGAGGTGGGAGCTAGGATTCATGAGTTCTAGTCTGAGCTTTGGGAAGAAACTGGATGTTTGTGCCATGGGTAGATCTGGGATTCAAAATAGTGGTTTTTAGCCTTTTTTTTTTTACCAGGACCCATTTGTAAACATCAATGGCAAGTCCCAACCCAATGCCCCTCACTCCCAACCCACTGCCCCCAGGCACCAGGCCCCCAGTGTGTGGGGTGGGGTGGGGAGAAGGGAGCAGGACAGCAGGGGTGTCTATGGGACATGAGGGGCCCAAGCAACCCCTTGCAGACTGGAACGCCGCCAGTTTCCCACGTTTTCCTCGTTAAAGGAGAATCCATTTTTAAATTTGTTGATCCATTTTTAAAGTTTGTTCAGCACCCATTCATATATTCTTGCAACCCACTTTTAGGTCACGACCCACGGGTTGAGAAATGCTGATTTAGAAGATAGGAGGTGCAGCAGAGGCCACTGACATCAGCCCTCAGAGAATGGGGGTGGGGATGAGGTGCAGCAGGAGCCCTAGAGGCAGTGAGGGACACTGAATGGAGCGATGGGCAGGGAGCAGTGGCAGGAAAGAGGTGCACACCCCCTGGACCTGCTGTCCCAAGTGGAACCAGCACCTGCACAGATGCTTCCTGCATCCTCAGGCTGGAGCAGCTCTGCTGCACCTGGGTCAGCAAGGTATAATGGCAGGAGTGTCCCCCCTGCCTGCATTGTCTCCCTGCCTGGCTTCCTAAGGCTCCCTGCCAGCCCAGAGGCTCCATCACCACCACCAGTTTGGCCTCAGCAGGGCTGTGTTACCTGACCAGGCTGTCAGGCAGCAGCTCATTGCCCCATGAGGAACCAGGACACTGGTAACTGGGATACAAAGCAAGTTAGTATAGGGGTAATAGTTCAGGGCCAGGACACTTGGGGTCTCTCCCTGACTGTGGGAGGAAGGCTATAAAGCTTAGTGTATTAATGGCTGTGAAGAAGTAAGAAATCCTTCAGTCTGATGTTAGAGCACCCTTCTGGGAAGTGAGAGGTCAGAATTTGAATCCCCTTAGTTTGGAACAGGGTGTTATTCCTTCCTTCAGTTGATCCTGCTAAGCACTAGGCACTGGATTTATGGGTTTGAGGGGGGTTATTTTGCCTATATTAAAAGAAAATCATGAACCATTCTACATTTCCAACACAATATTGGTTGTCTCCATGCAGTTTCTAAATAAGGCATCCAACGGCAGGAAAAGAGCAAAATTTTAGATTCACCCCTGCCCTTATTCGAGTCTTTTATCATTCTCACGTGATATAAGATATCTCATCCTGCTTCTTACCAAGTGCAAAACAGAAATATTTCCTCCACACTTCTGCCTGTTTTGCATTATTGTTATTAATACTGTTATCATCTATCCCTAGTAAAGGGCCTAACCCAGAGGTGGGCAAAATGCAGTCCGCGGGCCGGATATGGCCCACTAGGCCATTCTATCTGGCCTGTGGGGCCCCTAAAAAATTTAGAAAATTAATATTTATCTGCCCCTGGATGCCTGTCATGCAACCCTTGATGGCTTGCCAAAACTTGGTAAGTGGCCCTCTGCCTGAAATAATTGCCCACCCCTGGCCTATCCCATTTCTAGGATGTAATTCTTAGCTTCAGCCTTGCTGGCCATAGGGTTTACTTAATGTCTTCAGCTTCCCTTATTAAATGTCTACTCTTGCAACTTATACCAATTAATATCAATATCTACATCCCCTGTTTCCTGTGGTTAAATGATGCTATTTTATTTCTAATTTCTGTCTTCATTTCACCATTCAAGCAGGATAGGCATCTAGCCAAACTTATCCTCTTCCTGGATAGAAGAATCATGGTTTTTTTGTCCATCTAACATGATTTCAGGCCCATGAATCTCCCACCATGTATCAGACATGCTAATTATATCACGTTTCTTTTTTACGGGGGAGAATTTCCAATTCATTTTTCTTGTTATTCCCCAAGCTGATTTAGGACACTAATGGGAAAAAGTTACATAAAGTTTGAGTAAGCTATTCAGGGTTTCATCCATTGATTTCCATGATGAAATAAAATCTCAGTAAAGGTTTCAAAATCATGCCCATTGATTACAGTGGGAGTAAAGCATAAGTCAAGCCTTAGCCAAAACCACAGGATTCTTCCCTTTATTTTTGCTTTCAGGTCATCCATATCCAGTTACCTAAGGCCAAATGGAGCAGCTGTGGGGAAACCAAACTATGGTGAGTGAATTCCTCCTGGCAGCCATTTCTCCAACTCCACAGTCCCAGGCTGTTCTTTTTGTTGTCTTCCTTTTGGTCTACCTTTCTACACTGGTAGGCAACTTGGCCATCATGGTGACAGTCAATGCTGATCCCTACCTCCGTACACCCATGTACTTCCTGCTAAGCAATCTCTCCTTTCTGGACCTATGCTTCTCTACAGTTACTGCCCCCAAGATGCTTATGGACTTCTTGTCTGAAAGAAGGAGTATTTCCTATGATGCCTGTATGACCCAACTTTTTTTTCTCCACTTTGTGGGGGCAGCTGAGATGTTCCTACTTACTGTTATGGCCTATGATCGCTATGTTGCCATTTGCAAGCCCCTCCATTACTCCAGAATCATGAACAGGTGTCTTTGTAGCTGCCTGGTGCTGGCCTGCTGGACAGGAGGGTTCATCCATTCCACAGTCCAGACCATACTCACCATGCAGCTACCCTACTGTGGGCCTAATCATGTGGACAATTTCTTCTGTGATGTTCCACCAGTGATCAAGCTGGCCTGCACTGACACCTATGTGATGGAACTGCTCACAGTCTCCAACAGTGGGCTGATCTCGACCAGCTGCTTCATCATCCTGGTGACCTCCTACACAACCATTTTGGTGAAGATACGCTCCCCTGAAGGGTGTCGCAAGGCACTTTCCACCTGTGCTTCACACCTGACTGTAGTAACTTTGATCTTTGGGCCCTGCATCTTTATCTATGCACGGCCTTTTTCCGTCTTCTCAGTAGACAAGCAGGTCTCTGTTGTCTACAACATCATCACCCCCATGCTTAGCCCCTTGGTCTATACATTGAGGAACAAGGAGGTGAAGTCAGCTATGAAGAGACTAAAGACGAGGAGCATCACTTCTGGAGAAAAGATAATATCATGAAATTTAGCAATGGCTGGGAACCAAGTAGTATCCTGGGGACATATTATCTAGGCAAGGAGGAGATATTGTCCAAGTGAGGGAATTGTATTTGGGGGAGATAGATATACTGACTGTTTTGGGTCATTTTATGGAACTGAGTATCAGTTCCATAAAACTGTCCATTTGGGTTTGATCTGTAACCGACAGAGACTTTGGATAATTATGGAACAAGAAATCATCCATAATCTGGACTGTGTTAAGTATGGTTTAAACAGGAACTATGGATTTTTATCCCAGTACCTGTATAAACTGTTCTAATTTCTTTGTTCCTAAGAGTTTATTGTTTGCTTCTCCTAGCATTGCCCCCCTCCCTACTTTCTGCCTTTTGTTTTTAATTTTTTCTCTCCTTATACAATGCATGTCCTTCCACAGTATCTAATGAAGTGAGCTTCAGCCCACCAAAGCATGTGTTATATACATATATCTACTTAGCTTATAAATGTAAGAGACTAGGACATTAGCAACCTTGCTTAGTGGCTAATTGCCACAGGCAAAATCAGGGGCAGGAATCAAGGGCCAAATTACCAGATCCCAAGGGCAATCCAGGAGCAGAGTCCAAACACAGGCCAGGTCAGAGATCAGGAAGCTGCAACCCAGTTAGCAGGCCCAAGGGCAAAAACAGAAGCCATAGTCCAGGAACTGAGTAAGCAAGGTCTGAAATCCAGGAAGCCAAACCAAAGGGAAATCCAGAGTCCATGGACAGAGCCAAACCAGGGCCAGGAAGCAGGAGGCTTACAAAAGCAGAGTTGAGTCAGCACTGTTGGCTGGCCAAGAGGCTGCTGTCACAGTTGGGACTAAATCGGGAGATGGAGCTCCCAGTGGCCAATTACGAAGCCAGCTGGTTAATTACCTGGGTCACAGCTTGTCAGCCAGAGACCCAAAGCAGGCAGGGGTGGATTCAAGGAGGTGCAGTGGTACAGTTGCAACACCCTTTGATTCCTGCTTTACCCAAACTTTAAAACCAGCTGCCTCAGAAAGGGAGCAACATCTATTCTGGCAGTGCTGATGGAGTCAATCACCTTCATGCTCATTATAATGTACCTGATTCCTGATCAACTTTCATTACTCCACAAGTTGTAATGACCCTATCTTCTTTCTAATCATCTTGATATTGCATTAATCAAGTTATTCTTTCTTCTGCAATTCTGCTGTCTGTTAGGTACTCCTAGTTCTCTCTCTCTTCTATTTCTGCAGACTATTAGCTAAAAACCTTATCTTAGGTGTGGTAACACTTATGCAAGTGAACATTGACTCTAGATGTGAAAATGATGGACAGTGAAGTGTTGGATGCATTGTCAAGATGCACAGGAAGGCAAGAACATGTTTTATGGATCTGAGTAAGAGCTACAGGGGTGTAGGTTGTGGCCATATTGGTCTAAGGACATAGGCAGACAAGGTTCCTTGGGTGAATCTGATATCTTTTATTAGATCAACCCACATAGTTGGAAAATAATTATTAAGCAAGCTTTCAGGTTCAAAAACCCTTCATCAGGCTAAGGAAGTTTCAGCAGTTGGTGTGTGCTCTTCCTGGATGGAATGAAAAGTAAAGAGGCCAGCGGCTGGGCTGGTCTGCAGACAAGACAGGTAGTCAGTGAAGATGCAGATTGAGGAGTCAATGGGTGAGAGACAGGCTGGGGGGTGGGAGGTGGGGGAGAGAGAGAGAGAAGGGGGATGAAAGTGGAGAGATATCTGGGGAGTCAGATGTCAGGCAAGTTATAGTGTGTCATAAATCCAAAGTCTATATTTAGTCCATGATTTTTAGTATCCAGGAGGTTGATGAAGTGGAGTTCATAGGCTTGTCTCTGGGAAGTGTTTTGTAAGTTTCCTTTGAGGATCAGGACTGAGAGACTGGAAAGAGAGTGGTTTTCTTGTGAGAAATGTGCCCCCACCGGTAATTGGGTATTTCTGTCTTTGATAGATTTCCGGTGTGCGTTCATTCTGGTGCGCAGTTGTTGTTTGGTCTCTCCTTTGTATTTTCCATCAGAGCATTTGATTGGATGAGGTGTATTACATTTCTGGAGGTGCAGCTATAAGATCCAGGGATGCTGATGGCTCTGTTGTGGGGTGTAGTAATAGTGGGGGTGGTGGAGATGTGTTGGCAGGTTTTGCATTTCTTGTCCTGGCACGGTCTGGATCCTTTTGGTGTGTTCTGGG